TTTTTTTTACATATAAAATTTGGTTGCTTGTTCTGGGTTTTAAGGCAAACTTGCACTCTTTAGCCCAAGGTGACCTGGAGGAGATCACAATAATTCTCCAGTCTCACAGTCTCCTAAGTGTTGATATTATAGGCATGAGCCACCAGGCTTTGTTTTAGGGTCTATGTAGATTTTAAAACCTATTATTTTTTGCATTTGACAGGGTTGTTTCCATTCACAAATTAATATTAATCACATTTCCCAAATACAGAGATATTATTGATTTGGTTGTTGATGTAAGACCCTCGTTTTTAACCATGTCTACATGGAAGATCTCTCTGTAAGCTCTGATTTCGCTGCATCCCAGACTTTTCAGTAAGTTGCAGATTTTTTCCTTTAATCTAAAAGGGGCTCTGATTTCTTTTGTGATATTTTGGTTGATTCATTAGGTATTTTGAAATATGTTTTGGAGTTCCACAAATTTGTGACTTTCTAAACTTGACTCTGTTATTGAGTCATAATTTTAAATAATTTGATCCATCATGCATGACTTCAATCCTTATTCATTTATTAAGACTAGTTCTATGTTCAACCAAAAGTACATGGTAGACAATGTTCCTTATGTACTAGAGAAGGATACATACTCTTGTTCAGTACAGTGCTCTAGGTGTGCCTATAAAGTCTAGTTGATTTCCTTTGCTGTTCACATCTTCTATTTCCTGTTACTCTTTTACTAAAAGTGGGATTTCTTTGAGGCAGGGTTTTACTCTGAAGCTGCCCTGGAGCTCACTGTGTAGTCCACAATGGCTTTGGATTCATGGCAATCTCCTTTCCTCGGCTTCCTTAGTGCTGGGATGATGGACGTGAGTCACCATACCCACCTATTAATGCACATGGGGAATTTAAGTCCCCAGTTATTATGTTTATTAAATGTCTGTTGCTCAGCTCAATTCTGTCAGCTTCGGCTTCATGCATTTTGGGGGTCTGTTGTTAAGTGCTAAGTGTACTTCTAATCAAGCTTGTGGGTCCATCCATTTACCCTCCTGTCAACACTCTCACAATTAGCACTTGAATAAACAGGAGTGACAGCGAGGCAGAATGTTTAACATTTAAGAGTAATGAGTACCTTATGTTCTCCTTTTCGAGAGATGACATATCTCTGGATGACTGGTTAACAAATATGTCTTGTCTAGATATAAATGCACTTTGAAAACTAAAGCCAACAAGTTGCTGAAAATTAAATTTTCTTTGATTTTGTATATTTTGTTACATATGTATATAGTAAATATATTTGCAGTCTGGCAATGGTGGTACGCTCCTATAATCCCAGCACTCGGGAGGCAGAGGCAGGTGGATCTCTGTGAGTTCGAGACCAGCCTGTTCTACAAGAGCTAGTTCCAGGACAGGCTCCAAAGCTACAGAGAAACCCTTCTCAAAAAACCATGCAAATATACCTATGTTTGCATTAGTAAAACTGAAAGTGTCTTCCTTAGTTGGTAATTACAAATGGGATTAATTCTGCAAATTATTACTTTCATACATTACCAAAATCCATGAAGTGAATTACTAACAATTACAAAAAGTCTTCAGTTCTAAAAACATTTATTTTTATTTTATAAATGTTTTCCCTGGGTGTACATATGTGCACCATACACATGCCCGAGGAAGAGGGCAGAAGAGGCCCACCCCTGGAACTGGAGTTGCAGACCACTGTGAGCTGCTGTGTAGGTGCTGGGAGCACCACGATCCTAGGCAGGAGGAGCAGGTGCTCTTAACTACTGAGTCATCTCTCCAGCCCCTAGGTTACATTTTTAAAATGAAATGATGTGTGTGGTGATGGATGGATATACAAAGAAAACGTGAAATATAGACACAGTGGAAAAGTATTTGGCCATAAAAAAGTGAAAATCTATGTGATTTAAAGCAATATGGATGGAGATGGAGAACTTTATGTTAAGTGTTTTACAAGCAAAGACACATGGTTCTTACTCTTATGTGGAAGCTAAAAATATTTGTTTCATAGAACTTGATCATTGAGTAATGGTTGCCAGAGATTAGGGAGAGTAGGAGGAAAGTGGACTAGAGAAGGGTTGTATAATAGATAACTAAGCTCAGTTATATGAGAGTAATGGGTTCTGGCATGCTTCAGCATAGATGAATGGCGACACTTCCTCAACAGTCTATTAAATATGGTATACAGAGCAAGAATGTAAAGTCTCCCAGCACAAAAAGTATAAGCATTTAAGGATATGGTGATTACCACATCATACATCATAAATAAACATATATGCATTGATTTAAAAATGACAAGCCACACCCAGGCAATGCTGGAGTATGCGTTTAATGCCAGCACTTGGGAGGCAGAGACAGGCAGATCTCTGTGAGTTCGAGGCCAGCCTGATCTACAAGAGCTAGTTCCAGAACAGGTTCCAAAGCTACACAGAAAAACCCTGTCTCGGAAAAAAAAAAAGATAAAGGACAAAAGTTTCCCAGAGTCTCTAGCTTAATATGTATAATAATGTGTGAAGTCTGCCAGCCACAAAGCCTGTGGCCACACTGAGTAGCTGAATACCTTCGATCTCAGAATAATGTTTTCTCTCTAGAGTTTCGTCAGTGCCAGGGTTTTCAATTGCTGCTCTCTTGTTCCTTTGCGTAATTGTAGAATTCTTAGGTTTTACCCCTCTAAATCATTTCTTGTAATTGCTGTAGTGTTGCCACCTTAATATTTCCATTGTTCCTCTCTGATGTTTTGTTAGCAGAGAGCTCTTTTACCACTGGGAAAATAAGAGCTATTATAGACAACTTGTAGAGTCTTGTTTGGCTCTGTTCTAAAAGTTTTTGCAGTACTACCTAAAAGGAACTGTTTAGTCCTAACTCACACAAATATGCACATAACACACACACACACACACACACACACAGAGAGAGAGAGAGAGAGAGAGAGAGAGAGAGAGAGAGAGATTCATGTGCTTAAACAATTTTGGTTGGGTGATAATAGGAAATATTACAAAGAGTTCATATCCCTTTTCTGGTCTTTCTCAGCAAGAAATTCTATATTTTGCTCAAAAACCTATTTGAAGATTTCATGTCAGTTTGGCAACTCAAACAGAATTGAGCATGACACTCAGCCATTAGTTGGTTCTACTATTTTATAACTAGCAAGTTGATGCAGTTATCTGCCAGATTAATTCCAACTCCAGGTCCCTGAGCTTTATACTGTGGTTTCATTCTCACCCCTCCCTTCCGTTCTATAATGGGGCTAAGACACTACATGTTGTCATTTTACTTTAACTCAAAATAGATTCTAAGATGAGCATCATGATACATTTCTCCTATCCCAGCACTTGATACGATGAGGCGTGAGGATAGTAAGTTTGAGGCCAACCAAAGCAATATAGTGAGAATCTGTCTTAATTTTTTAAAAAAAAAAAAAAAGAGGAGACGAGAGGAGGGGGTGAAGGGAGGGTGGGTGGCCAACTCCTCTCTTCTCTAGGAAATCTTTTCAACCAAACTAGTTTGAAAATATCTGTAGAAGGTCTATGTCAGTATGCCATAAATGACGTCAGGACAACCCAATGGACTGCCTCACAAACCTCCTGTTAGTGTTATCTAGAAAGTCAATATTCAACTCCAGTGCGAGGAGACTGTGTGCAATCAATATGCATGGTGTGGTGAGATGTGGGACTTGAAGCAGTCTGACAAGCAGATAACTGGCAGAATCAGTTTCCCTAGGACTCACTCCAAGAATGAAGGTCAGCAGGGCAGAATGAAGGTCAGCCGGGCAGTGGTGGCGCACGCCTTTAATCCCAGCACTCGGGAGGCAGAGGTAGGTGGATCTTTGTGAGTTTGAGGCCAGCCTGGCATACAAGAGCTAATTCCAGGACAACGAGGGCTGTTACACAGAGAAACCCTGTCTCAAAAAAAATTGAAGGTGATAATTCAGTATTATGAAGCTTATAAGAAACATAGGAGCCAAGCATAGTGGCCCATACCTCTAATTCCAGCACTAGAGAGGCTGAGGTAGGAGGATTGCCATGAGTTTGAGGCTAGCCTAGGTTGCAGAGAGTTACAGCCCAGCTTCAGCTTTGAATTAAGACCCTGTCTTGGGGGGAGGGGGGAGAGTGGATATAATGTTCTTTACATAGTGGCAAGTGACAAATATTACTGCGATCCATAAGTCTTGATTAAAGGGATGGATAAATGAATGACTGGACAGCCAATGAGACAAAATGCCTATTGCATGTTCCCATGCAGATTCCCTCCAGACTTGTGTTTAAGGGATGGAGAAGGTCATGTCCGCTGTTTAATACTGCTGGTAAAGGACAGGTTTGCTCCTAGCATCTCCTAGGAGAAAGAGCCATGACTTAGTGAACCCATCTGTTGGCAGAATTTTCTATTCCAGTTAATAGGAACCAGATCTGCAGACAGACAGTTGGTTGTGTTCTTACAAGGGGATCATTACTGAACAATTAAAATGAAAATAAGTATTTTAAGTGCCTTGTTGGAACAGCCTGCACAGCTTTGAACCTACTCTTTTTACGTCTGACCCAGGGCTTCTTGGTCTGCCTCACACATATTCTGGTGATTTCTTTTCTTTTTTTTCTTTTCTGTCTGTCTGTCTGTCTGTCTGTCTGTCTGTCTGTCTTTCTTTCTTTTTTGAGGCCTGAACGCACAGAGTGTTGCCTCCTCTCACTTCCAAATCTGCACAGCTCCATGTTTGTCAGATCCTCTTGCCAAAGCAATAGTTCATTGTTCTTTATGGTATATAATAGGGAAAAACATGTGCCACGACCTGCCCTCACCTAACGTCAACCTCCCCTAACCAGAAGAATGGTCAGAAAGAGACCAATGGGCAAACAGCCCCACTAGTTCTCCAAGCAGTAATGGAATAAGACAAACCCGAAGGCGTGGCTTTCCCTGCAAACCATACACAAAATGCTGTCTCCATTGAACGCTCCTGGTGGAGCTTCCTCCTCTTGATAATGGTCATTTTCAGATAAAGAGACTAGTTTTCCACTCACCTTTTCCCTCTTAAAACTACTGTTCCGTTTTGGGGACATATTTCAGTTCACTTTTAATATTCTGGATCTCCGATAGATTGACAGCAGGTCCTGGGAGTTTCTTTGCTCCAGGAATTGGCTTCTTCTCTTCCTCCGAAGTGGGAGGAGCCCCCTGAAAAAAAAGGAGAGAAACCAAAATCCAGGATATTTCATCTCTCTGGCTCATGGCATAGAGCAGGAAAACAAATATCAAAAGAAAACGTCAGAGTGTGATTCTAGCATGGGGACTTTCTCCTGTACCTATTATTCAGATAGCCTTAGAGTTTCAACAAAATTCCCTGCAAATTGTACAGAACTGTAAAATAATGTAAGGGGGAAAGTCCTTTCCATATGTCTTAGGACACATTAAGCAATAGTTGAGTGTCTGGTAACTAATAAACACTGCCAACAGTTAGAAGGGGCTGAGCTTCTCACGAAAGCATATTCTAAAAGCGACTCTGATTTAGTATCATACCATCCTCAGACACCTGATGGCAGAAATCTGTAAAAAGTCAGCGCACAGCTAGCCCCAATGAGTCCAGGAGTCTGCAAAAGTTTGCTCAGAGTGTGGTGCCTGTCAGCCTTTTGTCCTATGGTTCCTTTAGGAAACAAGCTCAGAAGGAAAGAAAACATCTCTGAATATGGGAGGGAAGGCCAGAAGCCAACCTTTGCCTGCTGCTTTGAATAGTTTCAATTTCATATCATCAAAGGAATCTCAGTTCTAGGGAGGGACATACAGCCTTTTCTTTTTGTGTGTGGCTCCTCGAGTACCTGAGGACAGAGGCTCGAATGTATACTTGATGCTTTGTATTTAACTGGTTTATCCCATAATCAACCTACACCTCTATGTGTGTGCACCTAGCACATACAGAAAAGGACTATAAAGCATTGCGATCAGCTACTGTGTGTAGCTCCATCTAGTTACAAGAGATGAAAACTGCATGCTAAGCCTGTTCTTCCTACTTGCCTGAAAGGAAGATATTGGAGAACATTTGATCACCCTAACAGCCAAGGTATCATCCCTTGGATCAGACTACTTCAGGGGTAACTGAGTGACTGCCCTAACTCCTTGTCAGTAAAATCCATCCATCACCATGCAGAGGTCACATTTACCAGATCTGCTGTCAACAAATGATTGAGTACAGCAGCATTCCTAAAGTGATGGCATACCTGGCAGACAGGAACTCCACCCAGGAGAAATTTAGGCGGGAGAGCTGGGCTTCGAGTCACACTGAGGTCTGTATTTCTCCCACCAAGCCCTTCTGTCTTCTTCCCCTGCATCTGGGCCTCAGCAACTCTCCTGTACAAGTGTTTCCCCTAATAAACACTTTGTACCTTAAATGTCTATTTGTTAGAAAACTCCAACTAATATAGTTCCCCGTGCAGAACTGTCCATAGCTCCATCTGCTCAACCAAGAATTGGGTAAACCAATTGTGTGTGTGTGTGTGTGTGTGTGTGTGTGTGTGTGTGTGTGTGTGTGTGTGTGTGTCATGCATGTCAAGGATAAGAAACTGCGTATTTGCCTCCCATGGAGACAGTGTTAAAGCTAATACTGTTAGTCCAGGTATAGTGCCTGCCTGTGTCTCCTTCTCGAATGGGTTAGCACCTAGAGGAAGAATGTCCAAGCTTCCCCGAACTCTGACAAATCACTAGGTGGATGTGTCCCTTATAGATATGTTTTTAAATTGTTTATTGGGGAGGATGAGTAGGCATAAAAGAGTGAGGTGTTATTCCTCTTGTACGGGCTAACGGGACTTCATGTAGTTATTTTCTGTGCAGTTGGTACAGTGCTGATTAAACAGCTAATATGTCACCCCCACGAAATGATAAAGTAACTCGATGAGGATGTATCTGTTGCAAATCCCTGGGAGATAATGTTTCCGTAGGTCCAGGCAGAGAGCCGTAAGCCTGGTTTCCGTTCTCCACACAAACACATCCATCACTTACAAGTGCTGATACACAAAAGGTCATTAAAACTGTAAAACACCCACTTGAAGAACCAGGTATTCCAGACTGTTCTTTGCTGGGCTTTCGGGAAGGGATTTTTAACAAGGCTATAAAGGGTTGCTTCTTCTTCTTTAATATGTGTAGCAGTGAAATGAAAAATGCTTCAGCACTGAGAAATGCTCCTAAGGTTGGAGGTGGGTAGATCTTAAAGAAGCGCAAAGAGAAAAATGTTTCCAGATCCTTCTGCTAAGTTCCTAGGTAAGTCGTCTCCACTGCTGGCACATTTAACACAAACAGCCAATATCTATGCTTATGTGTCTGGGGTGGATTTATAAGGTGAACTTACACAGACTAATAAAGGAATATTTAATGCTAGGCATCTTCCTTACATTATTAAGACCTCAATGGACTGAGTTTTTTTTTTCATTTTTTATTAAGATAAGGCTTGACATTTGATTTAGTGAGGTGGCATATAATGGAAATTGTCATGATTAAGAATGTGATAGTATGATATTATTCAGGATGCATTTTTATATTGAAGTTCTACCACCTTTAAAAACATAATGGAAATCATATTCCTCTACTTCTGTGAATTTATTATAAGAATTACAGTAAACTAGAGCATGAATAAAGAGGCTTCTATGATGGAGGAAGGTCATTGGTTAAATAAAAAGAAACTGCTTGGCCCTCATTGGTTAGAAGATAGGTGGGAGGAGTAAACAGAACAGAACACTGGGAGGAAGAGGAAGTGAGCTCAGACTCCACAGCTCTCCTCTCGGGAGCAGACGCCTCAGAGAGATGCCATGCTCCCAGCTCCCAGGCAGACGCATGCAATGAAGCTCCGACCCAGGATGGACATAGGCTAGAATCTTCCCGGTAAGCGCACCTAGGGGCGCTACACAGATGATTAGAAATGGGCTAAATTAATATGTGAGAATTAGCCTAGAAGAGGCTAGATAGAAATGGGCCAAGCAGTGATTAAATGAATACAGTTTGTGTGTTGTTATTTCGGGCATAAGCTAGCCAGGCAGCCGGGGTGCTGGGGACGCAGCCCCGCCGCCCTTATTACTACACTTCCACTTGAATCATGAAGGATATCTCAAGCCAGCAGATAGCTAGAGGCTATTGATTCTTCCATACAGCCAAAGAGAGTATGAGGGAAACCTTACCAACCCCAGCAACATCCCCCACTTTGGTGAGAGTTCTGTGAAGGGAAGTGTCTGCCTTGAAGATCACAGAGGAGTTGCCAAATGCTGCAGCATGGAGAAGCCTTTCCAGGCTACCCCATCCCTGCCATTCTTTACTACCAGATACCCTCCTGAGTTTTTCCCAAGGCTCTTACTAACTCTATAGAGCTTGACTTACTCATTCAAGTTCAAAACTAAAAACTCACTGCTATCAGCAAACACTACTAGCTGTTCTAAGTGCATGTGCTAAATTATTTAATTCTCACGCCAACCCTACACATTTGCTTTTATCCCTACCTCACCACTGAGACTGAGGTATGGAAAATAGAACATTGCTCAAAGCCTCAGAACTCGTAAGTGATGAGACTAGAATTAAATAATATGTTTGGATCTTGGGAAGGGACAAGATAAAAAGGAAATATTGAAAAGAAAGTCCCAATGTGTAACATAATGAGGATAATGATATTTAAGTTAAAGAGTGAATGGGAGACTTAAAAATAGCTCACCAGAACCGTCGGATTACTTCAAACAAGCAACTGCTTTTCTTGTGCAAAAGTATTTGGATAGAAGACCCATGGGACCCCGTGCATGCTTATGTCTACCAAGCCAAGTATAGAAGGTGCAATCCATGTTTGTAGGCAAGGCAAAGGGCTGGTCAGAAGCCACAGGTACACAAGAGACAGCCAGCGGTCACAGACCTTATCAGAGAGCCAATGACTTCGGGTCTGTTTTTGATGGGATGCAACCCTTTGTGCACTTCTTAGAGGATGTCAAGATCCAAATACCTTCTGAGTTTACCTGGGGTTCTACTGGCTAGGATGGAGGTGAGCTGTTCTGGTTGCTGATGGTGTGCTACAAATCACACATTCTACTATAACTCTGTTAGCATGGAGCTCAGCAACAAATCTTCAGTCTCTGATGGTGAGCAATTCTTAGTTTGCAAATACAGATTACACTAATAAATGTGGATATGGGAGGAATTGTGAATTCACATTCAAGTTCCTCACTCGTTATAATGCCACTGAAGGCAGCTGGGGCCTCAAGCCAACCCACAGAAATCCTATTTAATGCACCTTGTAGCTACGACAAAATACCCAAATACCCTTGTGACGTTTCTCTGGGAAAATTATTCAGAGGCCCAAGTCAGAATTTGAGCCATGATGTCACTTCTTCCGTCAAACCCCACAAGCCCTAAAAGTCCTTGCTTGTATTGGATAAGGAACAGCCTTAGCTCTCTGCTCTACCCGTTGAACCCCAAGATCGAGGAGTGGCACAATGCATAGACCACCTCTACAGTCTCAGGATCTCTGTGAATATCTCCTTCTCTCTACCCTGGGAGGAATATCAACCGGCCATTTGAACACATGAGTGCTTAGAAAGCATACTGTTACAAACCAAATGATATAGGCCCTTGGTAGTTTTATACAATGTGTCCAAACCATCAAATTAGGGACAAGAACAGACTGATAGACAAGTGCTTCCCTAGTGTCCTAACTGAGAGGCTCGTGTTGTGCAGGGAAGAACCCAATGCTGCCCGCTCCACTGATGGAAGAGAAGACCTGAGCCCGGCACAGCTGTGGTATCAGCCAGTTTCACGGAGAAAAGGACCAAGCTACTTTCTGACTATTTGTTGTCATAGTGACAGAGAGCTTAAAAGGAAGGTGAGGAAGAAAAAATGTCCAATAGCAAATTAATGGAGGCGAGGGCAGAGTGCCATGGCCATCCCTTTAAACTCCCCATGCCTCTCTCTCTTAAAAGCAGAACAGGAGCTCTGGAGTCTTTCATTAACATTGGATAACCGGGAAGATTTCTAAAGAACTGCGTATTCAGTTTATACTGTGTCCATTCTTTCACTCATTCATTCCTGACAGCAACCCTCTGAGGGATGGAGGAGACCCTGTTCGACTAACCCAAGCTCATGCACTTGACCCAAGTCCCAGACAGAATTAGTAGCTGAAATTTCAAAATTTGGTAATTTTATTCAAATACTCCCCCTTCTTATTCAAAAAAAAAAAATCTCTTGATCAGAGGCTAAAGCCGAGGAGGTAAGATCATGATCAGGAAAATGCATATCATTTTAGGAAAGTTTGAGGCAGTGGGCCAGATATAAAAGCCATAAAAATCCTTACCCTTTAAAATGCCCTGATTTTTGTACTAATGAAATTATCTAAACCTTTAATCCCACCTCCCTCAGGAGGGTACTTGTTTCTGCTTGCTGCATTTGTTCATTTTCGTCTCTATTGCATGATATCTGAATTGGGCTGGGAGTAGAGAACAGGGAAATTCAAGGAGGGAGACTAGACAGACTCCCTTGGAAAGCCTTCCTTTCAAAGGAAGATCAAGATGACTGAACTTGAAAGTAACTTAATGTGCTTTCTTACTGGGCTCTCATTGAGGTTAATCTCCCCTCAGAAGCCACACCACACACAGCCTGCTCCGTTTAATCATAGACCCTAAGTAAAAACTTACCAAGCAAGAGACTAGCGCTAACCCCGAAGCACCTGTGTACAAAATCAGTCAGCAACTGAAGTCAAGCTTGGCATCTTCAAACAACTTTGTCAGACACTTAACACTGGCTGAAATGGAAAGAAGGCCCAGAATGTCCCTGCTAACTGAGAAACCTCGCCTCTGGGAAGACTCTGGAAGAACCAGGCCTTGCTTATCTCTGTTAGCTATCTTCCTCACCTCCTCTGCTTCAGGAGTGCACTCTTTCCTTCTGGGGGGCTGACCAGCTCCTGGTCGGAAGGCTCCCATTGGAATATTGATATTTGCCTAAAAGAGAAAATGGGAAATTTAGCTTAAGAATAGGAAGAAATTGCAGTGACATTCTAAGACAGCAATCATCGTGAGGAAAACGCTTCTGAAAAGTACATCCTCAGTGCTTTTTATCTAAGGAAAATTGCTGTAACAACAGCACAAAAATATGCAACAGAAAATGTCCCTTCCATTTATTACACCTTCCTGTATTCATCCTTGTATCTCTGCAGTGATTTTATAATTCCTTACTGGATGGAAGAATTTTTGAAGACAGTCTGTTCTGGCCGTTGCCCTCCTGTGGCCCATATTATTTTTCCCCTTTCGGTGATGAGGAATTCGCACATAATGATAGCAAAGTGGCAAAGAGCATCCACAGAAGCGATACCACATTTAGTCCTTCATCAGTTTCCTTTCTATGTACAGTGATGAGGATGCTTTCACATTTCCTGAGGCTCTACCTCCTTCCTATAGCATCCTAGCACTGTTCTGGTAGCACCTCAGGCCTCTGAGTGGACATTCTTCTAGCTTCTCCCCAACACTATCATGTGTGGGACAGTAAAGAACAGAGCTATAAAATCAATTTCCTTTTTTTAATAAAAATTAATTATTATCCTTTATTCAAATAAAACACTAATTTCCTTCAGTAGCAAGCATAAAATACCTTCTTGTAAACATGAACTACTTCAAACACTAAAATATGTAAGAATATATTGACACACTAATTTGAACTTGAGAAGATAGTATGTAAATTTAAATTTTACCCATGTTTCTCCAGACATCAAAAGGTGAAAAGATTTAACACATACCAAAAATGTCTTCAAACAGTGGTATCACTCAAATAAAACATGTTTTAAACAGTTTTAAAAACTAGAATGCACTTTTCCACTGCAGATAAAATGTTGCTTTAGAAGTAAGATATATGGGCTTTAAAAGGTTAAATTTCATGTTGATATGAGTGAAAACGATGTCGAAGCAAAAGAAGCAAAATGTGTTTGCTGACTTTTGACACAGTGGATGATTTGGGTACCACCCCAAATGAAATGAAGAAGAACATTTGGAGGACCTGGTATATGCTCTCTCGCCAGGGTAATGATTAACCTATAGTAGAGGAAATAGCCAGTGTCATTGCTCACATGATGTGGCCTCCAAGGAGAGCGGGTTTGCAAACTCTCCCTCGTGCTAGAATAATGCTTATCCCACAGAAAGGAAACAAATTGCAAAGTGTTAGTGGCAAATAGCAAGAACGGTACATCATTTTGATTCCAAGAAGTATTTTTTATCATCATGTATCATAAGAGAGACACATAAGATGGAGTGAAAGATGGATCTCATGGCCTAGAAAATATGGAGCAAATGTTTATCAATCTCAAGAGATCATAATTTTACTCTGTGGCCCAGGCTGGCCTCAAACTCCTACACTCAAGTGATCCTTCAGCTTCGGCTTCTCCAATAATTGGAATTTCAGGAAGGCATCATCTCTCCAGGTCATCTCACAATTTCAATTGGCACAATTCCTTTGTTTCTTGGGAGAACCTAAATTGATGCTAATCACTAGGGGTGTGTCTCAGCGATAGAGTGCCCACTTAGGACGCCTGAGACTCTCAATTAGATCCAGCACCACAAAGAGGCAAAACTGAATAAAATTCAGGAACAGTATTTCACCTTTGACAGTATTTAGGTTGAATGACATACATCAGGCTTGAAATAAGACCAAAACAATGTGAACAGACTCGGAGAAGATGATCTATATTGGACCAACAGACTACTTTCTCCACTACAATTTGGATGAAAGAAGAAAAGGGTCAAGTCAGTAACTATTTGAGAGAAGATTAATAAATTAAAATTTCAGTTATAGCCATGTGTGGTGGCACAGGCCTGAAATGCTAGCACTTGGTGGCTGAGTCCAAAGGATTGTGAGTTTGGAACCATCCTGGGCTACAAAAGAAAGACCCTCAACTCCCCTATCCTGAAAAAGAAGTTTATTTAGAGTGCCCCATTCAACCCATTTATTATGAATCTGTAGAAGATATCTTCCTGGTAGTTAAAATCCTGTTTCTGGAAGATTTGGCTTTTAAGTCACTTGATCAATCTCTGTAATCAAATGTAGTTTTCAGAAAGGAGACACGCAAAGGTGATGTTATGGGGTGACATCATTTTCTTATTTGAAGATTAATTCTAGAACCTCTTGTAGCCCTTCCATAGGTGGTTTCGAAGAGTGAAGCAGAGCTGGTAGTTGCTATAGATTCTTTCTAATTGTAAAAGAGACAGCTGTCCTGCGCCTCGGTATCCACATTTGTAGTAGAAATAATGGGCTCCTTCATGATTTTTAACCATAGAACCCTTCCTTCAAGTAAAACAATGCAGGGATATCTAAAATACGAGATAGTATTCATCAAAGAAGCTTCTCTTTGCCACAGACAGAGGCCATTACAGAAAAGCACAAGTAGTCAAAACGCAGAGGACAACTGATCATAGGGTGTCCAGTTCTTACGGATACATCTACAATACGACGCCTGCACCTAAGGCTCAGACATCACAAAGGAGAGTGAAGAAAGTTTGTAAAAATCAAAGGACCAGGAAATCTGCTGTTAGGTTGTATCTCCTAGAAATGGCAGGGGAGCTTCGTGCAGGATACCTCAGCAATATGGCTGCCTAAAGAAAACCTAAACAAGGACAACACCAATAGCCATGCTAACACTGAAGGAAATCTCAGAGTCCCAGCCCTAGACAAAGGACTACAGGCAAGTAAGGAATCTCAGACTTGGGGAAATAGTCTTCCCTAAGAATGAGCTCCCTAGTTGGTTATGTGATATCAAGTGCTCAGCCCTGAAATTATATATATATACATATATATATATATATACAAGTAACACTAAACTGGACTCAACCAGCTATATTTATATATTTATAGATATGCAACAACAGCAATTAAAGAACAAACGCCATGGATTTGAGGGGAATCAAAGGTTGAAGAGAGGAGAGGAAAGGAGAGAAATTATGTAATTACATTTGAATTTCAAAAAATTAAAACACGCCGGGCGGTGGTGGCGCACGCCTTTAATCCCAGCACTCGGGAGGCAGAGGCAGGCGGATCTCTGTGAGTTCGAGGCCAGCCTGATCTACAAGAGCTAGTTCCAGGACAGGAACCAAAAGCTACGGAGAAACCCTGTCTCAAAAAATCAAAAAAAAAATTTAAAACACATATTACCTAATGAAAAGTTAAGTGCAAAAGAGGCAGACAAGGAGGGTTCATAACCTTTTCTTCACAACACTCAGCGTTGTGGAGTTAAGATCATCAGCTTTTATTTTGAAATACCATTGCATTGATGCTGTATGGCTAAATGGATAAAATTCAAAAGAAAGAACTGGTGCATCTTTGATAAATATAATAATTTTTTGAATTATGGAACATAGACAGTGCATTGAAGACGATAAAACTGGTCTTTCTTTAAGAAATAAATGTTCAAGTGGCCAGAGAAGGTATAATAGGATTTAATAAAAGCTGATATTCTTATTTTTTAAAAAAAGATCATCATCTTTGTTTGACTGATAAACAGATTAAACCTCAAAGAGTTTAGAGTTTATGATCAAGGTCACATAAACAGTACAACAAACAAAGGCCAGATTGCCAAAGCAAACTCTTTGAGTTAACCTTTCTGCTGTACCAATCTAGTCTCCCAAGAGTTCTTTTCCCTTGGCTAACGTTAGCTCTAACCAGCTCTAAAATCGCAGGCGTACTCCGAGAGTGACCTTTGAAAAGGAGAACACAAAAGGCATACTTCTAGAATAGATGCCAAACCCAAAGCTGCCTTGAAAAATGAGCCATTAACTCAGTGGCATGACACTTTTTCTTCTTGAAGGCATCACTCAAGAAATCAGGAACCTAAATGGGTTTTGAGAACAGCAAATATTGATGGGAACGAAAGCAGCCTGTAACCATGTTGAGCGTCCAGTCACCCCTGTGCATCAATAGGGGAGTGTAAGAGGAGTGCTTTGTCAACTGTGCCATGCACTACACTAGTAATAAGATAATTAGAGAGGCTTCATTATTATAATTGTAGGGCAGTGATATCTGAGTGACAAATTATAGGCTACATTAGAGCCAGAGGAAAAAAATCCTTATAACTTGAATTTGGTGGGAAAATGTAGACCTATAGATCATTCTTTTATTTGTCATCCAGAAAATTGGGTTACATTCTTGCCTTTTCACTGCCCTGCTCTATGTCTAAATATAAATAAAATACCTTTTCAATCACTCAGTACTTCCATCTGCAAACTAGGTGTGATGTTTGCTCTTCAAATTGTGTATAATGCAAGCTAAACTTTTTTGAACTTTTTATTTTTTTCAACATAATATTTTTATTGATTCTTTGGGGATTTCACATCATATACCCCCATCATGTTTGCTTTCCAGTACGTCCCTGCTCATACCTCCTCCCACCCTTGTGACCTTCCCCCAGCATAAAAATGTGCAGTTTTTGTTAGATAAATACCCACTGGACCATGGTCAAACTCTCAGTGGCCTTTTCCTTAAATAGAACTGAGTTGTTCCTCTGCCACACACCGGCCAGAAGCCATCTATTGTGGAGGGCAACACTTAGCATCCTATCACAGTTTTTACGAGTTCTCTTCCATGGCTTCCTATTTCGGCTGCTACTATTTCCTTTGTTGGTGTGGGCAGGGAGGGGGAGGTTCGGGTAGAGGAAGGGATCATCACGGAAGTCATCCATGTCCTTATTTCTCCTCTGAGCATCTGCACTCATCGATATCATTGTCAAAGCATGAATCATGGTCTCCACACCGTTTCTGGTGTCAGCACAGATCACAAACAGGGCTCATGGTTGCACCAGGCCCACGGACCCAGACAAGGCCTCTAGATTCAGCCAAGGACCATGGGCAATCAATTTGCCTTCAAGCTGCAGCATAGATCATGGACATCTGGTTGGCTTTCGGTGATAACACAGGCCAAGAGTATCAACACAGACCCCAGATGCAGTAGGACCATGGACCCCTGG